AAGATTGTACATAAACTGTATTTGTAATCTTATTAGTGGATTCAATGAAGCATTTTGGTTTAATGTACCATGTTTTATTACAAGATACCTTGAAGGATAGACTGATATATCTGGTTATAAAAGGACAGAATATAGGTCCTGGATTTCTTATGCAGGTGTACAGAGAGGATAGGCCAGAGACTAATTTTTTTTTTCCTTTCCTGTATCAGGGACTAAAGAGACTGCTAATCTCATGCCTGCTTGCAGCTATGGTTTGAATGATGGTGTCCCCACCAAAATCCAAGCTGAAACGTAATTATTCTTGTATTTCCTCCTTTATGTCATGAGAACACTGCCCCCCCCCCCCCGAAGGATGAGGCAACACCATCACGGAAGCTGGAAGCAGCTCTCACCAGACATACCAGGCCCTTCATGCTGGACTCACCAGCCTCCAGAACAGCACTAAATGCATTCCTATTGTTTATAAATTACCCAGTCTGTGATATTCTGGTGTAGCAGCACAAATGGCCTTAGAAATATGGTGAGCCTGTCACTGATGTCTGGATTCGGGGAAGATTTTCACAGTTCCTTGGTAACTTACTTACAGTGCTATTTGTACAATGTGGCTGACACTAAATACCAGCTGCCTTCTGGGAGTGTAGAACTTTGGGATGAGTTGAGCAGGGGTTGCTTAAGTCACCATTTCACAATAAGAACCTAAGTCACTGAGATTCCACTGAACTTCCCTGGTAGATATTTTGCATAGGTTTTTACAATCCAATGCTGAACTTAGTAAATCATGTATAACAGGGAGAGGACTCTTACAATATTGCTCCTGATTTCCCACAGAACTCATCCAATGCACATGTTCCCTCTGGCCATTCACTTTGTACCCTTTCACTATAATATTATTGGAGACTAGGGGATATGAAATGTTATTTGACTATACTGGGGACCAGGCTATGTGATGGGATTCCCGTGGTCTCGAGGCCAGAAGTATGTGGAAGGTTCATAACCTTAGAGCTCCTAAGGCAAGATAACATCCACTGAGGACAATGTGAAGAATGCAGGCATCTGGGTAGAAGAATCTGTTCCTCATTAACCATGTCTACTGCAGACTCTGTGCCTTAGCAAGTACACTAGCCCTTCTCCTGTGCTTCTCGCTTGCTAATCAAAGTGGGTCAACATGGAGATTGTTGAGCCAGTCCACTACAGGGAGGCTCCTTCTGGAAACCTTGCATTTTTTAATATTATCTTTGTCTTTCCCACTGTTCTCCCCACAGGTCTCTGAGAGTCTGATCATTCCCCAGCAAACAGGAAACTTAGACTTTTGTTTTTCATATTGGCAACTAGACCCAGGGTCTCCTGCCTGCCAGGCAAGTGCTCTACAATTGAGGCACAGCTGCTCCAGGATTTTGACTTACTGTGTCCAACCTATAAGCTTCATCTCCCCCGAAGTCCCGATAGGCTTCACCCGCCATCCCCCAGGGCACGTGCTCTCCGACCACCTCTGTTAGACTTCCTGTTGGCAGGACCTCCCTCTATAAAATGCCCCAATACTGTTCTTTGCCTGTTCTGGGCTTTGTCCTGGACAGCAACCATCATGCTTTACCTTTCTTCGATTACCCTTAAAGACTACCGTCATGCTTTTTGACACCAAAACCTACAGGGAATTTCTTCATGTCAGTTGCACTGCTATAATAGGCATACGTACACTGGTAGTGAAAAGAAAGCTTTTGCAGATAATGATTTTCTACATAGAAAACCCCAAGAAATTCACAGAACACCCACTTAAACTATTCAGTTTGACTGCAAGCAGGCACAGGGGCTGGGGGTTCAATCCCCAGGCCTGCCACACCAGCCCTGCCCCAGGGGCGTGCTGAGAGGACAATTGAGACTGGGCATGGTGGTGCATGCCTATAATCCCAGCTCTTGGGAGGCTGTAAATAGGCAGATCACTATGAGTCTAGTAGTGAGACTCTAAATATCCTGTAGAACCTTCCCTAAAATAAATAAAAATAAACTATTCCATTTGAGGCTATAAAATACAAGTTTTACACAAAAGTCATGAATATCTCCACATACTATCAATAAATAAATGGAAATTGAAGTTTAAAAAATAGTACCATTTAATTTAGCACCAAAATCATGTCTCATGTACAAACCCAATAAAGTATGTTGAAAATGAAAAGTTTCTGATGGAAGAAACCAAGGGTCCTAAACAAATTATACCATACCTATGATTTAGAACATTCAATATTGTTACATCAATTGTCCCCATACTCATTTATTATACAGCATCCCAAGAAAAATCCTAAGAGTTTATTTTAAAACTCAAAAGCAGATTCTAAAAAAAGGCAAACAAATTAAGACAGCCAAATTAATTCTGAAAAAAATGAATGAGTCCGGAAGACACTGTTAAGTTTGAGACCTTAAGTTACAAGATTCATAGTTGTGCAGTATTTGACAAAATAGACATGAAGACTAATGGAACCAGAGGTACAGGAACCCTGTACACACGGATTTTTCAGAAAGATGTGACAGCATTTCAATGCTGAGATATTTAAGAAGCCAGAGCCCTGAGCTGCCATACTGGGCGGAAGCTCAACATCACCATACAGAGGGCCCACTTGGTGAGGTTCTAAAACCACTGAAGGAGACAGAATTCCCAGTCCTAGCCATATACTGCAGCTGAGACCTAGACAACCTAGCTGAGTCTCTACCCCAGTTTCCCAAAGAGAAGAGATCTTTGTCTTAAGAGAAGAGAGAACAATTAATTGGGTACCCATGTGTTAAAAAGGGATTCTGACCTCATGCCCTATAACAAGATGAAATCAAATACAAGACCTAGATGTAAACTTGACACCTTAACATTTTTGCAACCTTGGATTAGATAAGAGTTCTTATATCTCAAACTAGAAAGCATAATCCACTGAAGATAAAATTCAACATCAAAAATTTTAAAAACATTGACTAAAAAATACTGTTAATGGAATAAAAATAAGCCACATACTGGGATAAAATATTTACAAATCACATAACTAACAATAACTGTGTATTCAGAACATTGAAGAGAAAAAAATATTGAAAAAGTAACAAAAACATTAACCATCCAGTTAAAAATGGGCCAAGTCTAATAAAAATAAATATGCTATATGAATAGCAAAAAGTAAGTTAAAGTAACATACTAAGTGCTGATGAGGAGAAACAAATGGGGCTTTCACATACTGTTAGTGGGAATGCAAAATGGACAAGTTTAGAAGCTATCAGTTTTTTGTAAAATCAAACATATCCTACCATACCTTCTAATCATAATCCTAGATATTTAGGATGACAAAGGAAATCTTATGTTGACTGGTAACACTGTACACAAATGTTTATAGCTGTTTTCTTCATAATCACTGAATCTGAAAATTCAAGTTATCTTCAAGTGGTAAATAAATAAACGAATGTGGTACACCCATACACCAGAATACTACCCAGCAACCAAAAAGGAATGACTGAGATCAGGAACAAAGCTCAGAGGCAGAGCACTTGCTAAGCATGTACAAGGCCCTGGGTTTGCTCTCTAGCACTGCAAAACTTTTGAAAAGGGGACAATTGATACATGAAACATGAGTAAATCTCAAGAGCATTACACTAAGAAATGAAGCACAACATGCTACACACTGTAGGATTCCATTCATGATATCCTGTAAAAGGCAAACTATACAGACAGAAAACATTTCCCTGGTTGTTAAGGGCTGGCAATGAGAAGTGCTCACTACACACAATGGAATTCCAGGACAGGGATGTCAGAGTTGTTAAATGTCTTCACTGTGGTGGATGCTACCTGAGAGTACGCATCTGCCATGATCAATGATATACAAATTATATGAATTCCTTAAGAATTTTAAATGTCAGCTTATAAGATTTTCTTTTTTTGGCGGGACTGGGGATTGAACTCAGGCCCTTGCACTTGCCAGGCAAGCACTTATTCTTCTACTGATAAGATTTTCATATACATCTTTTATCTGAAATGGATGTTGAATTTTGTGAAATGTTCTCTCTGAATCAAAATACTGAAGAATCCATACCACAAAATGTACATACACAAACCATATGATGTTCAAGAACACATCTAACTAATCTATAGCACAGAAATCCTAATATTGTTGGCACTGAACATAGGATTGACTGGAAATGGGCATAAGAAACTTTCCTGGGGCTGGGGATGTGGCTCAGTGGTAAAGTTCTTCCCTTGCATGACCAAGACCCTGGGTTCGATTCCTTAGTACGACCAAAAAGAAACCTGTTCAACAAAAAATATGTATATACCAATCACAGCAATGATTACATAAGTGTATTCATTTGTCAAAATTCAGAAAGCCACAAAGTTGTGTTTTACACGTTATTGCACATAAACCTTACCTTAATAAGTGTTATCATACAAAAATGCTAGTCACAACCCACTGAATTGATTTTTGGCTTCAATAATATACTGCAACTTCAAATTTGACAAACATTAGTCCACAGGATTTGTAGAATTTGGAACATGAGCCCATTTGCCTAACTTAAATGTCCTATAAACCTTATATAACACTCTGAAGATAACTTTACAAAAACAGTAAAAATTTCAAATATGAAGTCTCATTTCTGCTCATACGACTACTGAAAGCATATAATGTGTTAGGCACTGAAAAGGCAGAGTAGATTTGGCAGTCAGCAGAAGTCCCTACCTTCTTGGAACTTATATCCTAATAGAATAGACTTTGGCACTTCCATGTCAGAACTTTGAGTTAATTCCAGGTCAGATTCACCCTTCCTCAGCATCCTGTCTGGGTGTATCTGCATGTTATTCCAAATTAAGTACATCTGGCCACACTCTCCCATGCTTCTCTTCTGTATGGCCTCCCAACCACGTCAAGCTCTAAAATGTTGACCTTTTATGAAACAAGTATTTTGTCTCCTATGCTAGTTCTGATCATTGGAGTATTTCAGCACCCATTTGAGATACTCAACACAGTATTTTATAGTTTATTTCCTGTACAAATGTTCCGATGAAGAGAAGTCCTTATTACTCTCTTCATCAGCATGGATTCGCTGATGAATTATAAGACTTGAGCTCCAACTGAAGCCTTTCCCACATTCTTCACATTTGTATGGTTTTTCTCCAGTGTGAACTCGCTGATGGGCCTGAAGGTATGAGCTCCAACTAAAGACCTTCCCACACTCCTCACATTTGTATGGTTTCTCCCCAGTGTGGACCCGCTGGTGGGCCTGAAGATAAGATCTCTGTCGGAAACGCTTTCCACACACATCACATCGATATGGTTTTTCTCCTGTGTGAACTCCACGATGAGCAAGAAAATTTGAGGCCCGACAGAAGCCCTTTCCACATTCCTCACAATGATATGGTTTCTCCCCAGTGTGGCACCTCTGATGGGCTTGAAGCTGTGACCCCACACTAAAGCCCTTCCCACACTCTATACACTGATATGGTTTCTCTCCCGTGTGGACTCTCTGGTGTACCTGAAGACTTGAGAACTGACTGAAGGCCTTCCCACACTTCTCACATTTATAGGGCTTCTCTCCTGTGTGGATTCTAAAATGAACATTAAGATCTGAACTTCGACTGAAGCCCTTCCCACATGTACCACATTTGTATGGCTTTTCTCCAGTGTGGCCTCTCTGATGGGCTAGAAGATTTGAGGCCTGGCTGAAGCCCTTACCACATTCCTCACATCTATAGGGTTTTTCTCCTGTATGGACCCTAAAATGAATGTTAAAATCTGAGCTGCGGCTGAAGCCCTTACCACAAGCATCGCATTGGTATGGTTTCTCACCAGTGTGGCCTCTCTGATGGTCCAGAAGATTTGAGGCCCGACAGAAGCCCTTCCCACACTCCTCACATTTGAATGGTTTCTCTCCAGTGTGGCTTATCTGATGGGCTTGAAGGTGTGAACCTACACTGAAGCCTTTCCCACACTCTTCACATTTGTAAGGTTTCTCTCCTGTGTGGGTTCTGCAGTGAATGTTGAGGTGTGAGCTGTAACTAAAGCCCTTACCACAGGCGCTGCATTTGTACGGTTTCTCCCCAGTGTGGATTCGTTGATGGGCTTGTAGTCGTGAACGCCAACTGAAGCCCTTTCCACACTCTTCACATTTATAAGGTTTCTTTCCATGGTGGATCCTCTGATGAACTTGAAGATATGAGATCTGACTAAAGCTCAGCCCACACTCCTCACATTTACAGGGTTTCTCTCCTGTGTAGACTATCAGGGAAACCTGGCACTGTGACCTTTTCCTAGTATTTTTCCCACATTCCTCATATTTGTATGGATTCCCTCCTTTGAGGAGTCTCTGCTGGGAGTGGAACTGTGACCTCTGACTGAAACCCTTGAATGAGAAATCAGGTTTGTATGATTTCTCTCTATTATGCACTCTCTGATGTGCCTGAAGACTTGAAAATCGACGGAAGGTATTATCACATTTTTCACATTTGTAGGGTTTTTCTTCTGCATGGGCCTGCAGGTTAGCTTGAAGATTCAAGTCCCAAGTAGAACCTTTCTCATTCATCACCCCTTTGTAAAGTTTTTTATCACCATGGACTCTGTGGTGAACCTGGAGATATGAATCCTGATTAAAGCATTTACTGAAATTCTCCTCTTGAGAGGGTGCATCATCTAGTTCTTTCAACTGAGAGCCAGTCTCTTGAATATTCACCATAGCCTCTTGACACCTGGTTAACTCCCTGGTGACCTGCTGCCAGATTTGTGAGCAGAAAGGCTCTTCATGTGGCAGGTACCTTGAGCCTACTTCTTGAAGAGTCTCCATCTCATTTAAATTCTTGTCTCCTAAAAGGATAAAGAAAATTCAGAGATGGGGCATGTGAACACGCTATTCAGAGATGTCAGTTATATATTTAGACCCCCAGCCTAAGGTGGGTTTTTTTTTTTTTTGTTTTGTTTTGTTTTTGTGGAACTGGGGACTGAACTCAGGCCCTCGCGCTTGCCAGGGAAGCGCTTATTCTACTGAGCCACCTCCCCGGCCCCAGACTAAGGTTTTGGAAAAAGGTTCCATTTTTCTTTTTCATCACATATTGTGGTAGCTGACTTACATACCCTTCAGAAGCCAAAGGTTGTCTGTCAGGTCTCATCACACATCAATGAGACTAATAACTCGGAGTCTTACTAAGTTTCATAAGTGAGCTTAAGGGTAGAAATTTGGAGTGAGAAAAATATTTCTAAGAAATCTTTACCAAGAAGCAATACCTCACTAAAGCTCTTGTCTGCTTCTGCTGCAGCAGGTGTCTGATAAGCATCTTCCACGCGATTCTGCCTACCGCATGGACATCTGAATGAACTGGCCCTGCTCAAAACAGCTAGCAAAATCCCTCCAGATAATCAGACATCCTTGCACCATGCTGAAGATCTCTGCCTTGGATTACTTCACTGGAAGTTGACTGCAATGCTAGGAGCTCTGAGGCAATGAACTGGTTAGAAAGATTCATGTTTGGAAGAAAATGCCTCAACCCTACATGCCTAAAGCTCAGAGTGTAAGCAGAGTGCTGACTTTCTAGGAAATACCCTCCTCAAGAACAGCTAGGGAAAAGGTTTCTACCAATAATGCAGTATTCTAAAACCTGATGGCAATTAAAGCCTCTAAGGGAAATAAATGAAAAACCAGAAAGTAACCTATAATAATAGATCAAGAACTGTGAGGAAGAAATAAAAGAACAGAACAGATTTCCAGGGCCGGTAAGATAGCTCAGTGGACTAAGTGCCTGCGTAGACAAGTGCAGGGACCAGGTTTCAATCCCTCACAGCACATGCTGTGCCAGCCCCACCCCCAGGTGTTCTGAGCTGGTTACTGAGTCCAGGTGTGGTGGTGCATGCCTGTAATCCCAGTACTGGGGAGGCTGAAAACAGGAGCATCACTCCAAGTCTGAGCTATATAACGAGGCCTGTACCAAACAAATATCCTGGACTACAAAATGAGCTCAAGGCCAGTCTGAACTGTATAGTGAAACCCTGTCTCAAAAAAAAAAAAAAAAGAAAAAAGAAAAAGAAAAAAGAAAGAACATGAAAACTTTTTTCAACTGAGTTATCTATAATAGGAATGAGATTTTAAACACTTTGCCTAAGAAGTTAAAAGTATCACAAAACAATGGCTAGAATCATTCAAAGAAAAAAAAATCACAAGGCAGGACATAGCCATGGGGCCTCCATGGATGCTGCTTCTGATTTTTGTACTCCCTCCATATATGTGTAAAATACTTCATTTATAAGGTAAGTTACCTTACCAGACCTGCCCTTAAGGCATCCTGAGTCAGTAAAAAAAAAAAAAAAAAAAATCCTCTATAAGGTAAGTCATTATTTAGAGCCCCAGGAGTAACAAGAATAATGCTTATCTGAAAGCAGATTATATAAAGCTGATGGAAGTAGATAACCTGTGCTCCATGGCCACACTAGTGTTTTTCAAACTAAAGACTGTGGTTCAATGTCTGTTTTTTTTAAAAAATGACTTTAAATGGTTTGTGTCTAGCTGTCCCCCCCAGCAAGCCTCATACAGTCATTGGGGCAGATTTGTAGAGTTTGTGACTAATTCATGATCCAATGCTGGGATTACGGGTGTGAATGCTACACACGGCCTGGGGCAGAGAGCCTGAATGCAACAGGAGGAGGACAGCGAGGCTTGCTCTCTGCTGCGCTGCCACTGCTCCTCCCTTTGCTCTTTACTGATTTCCACCGCCATGAACTGCTGCTCTCTGCCATGTGTCGCTCAGCCTTGGAGCCAGCCGAGTACAGACTGAAACCTCCACTAACTGTGAGCTAAATAAACCCGTCCTTCCTTAATTTTGGGTGTCAGGTACTTTAACCTAGCAACAAGAGAAAGTAACTTAAACAAATAGCCAATGGCAAACACTGGCAGAACAGAAAAATATTACAGGCATTCTGCAAATAATAAAAATGTCCCTGCATATTAAATATGCTTGCTGGGGCTACACAATCACACCTTATCTACACATACATGGATATACAGCTTATATATTTGTGTGTGTGTGTGTGTGTGTGTGTGTGTGTGTGTGTGTGAGATGCTGGGTACTGAATCCGGAGCCTTGGCCATGCTAAATGTATGTCCTGCTGCTGACCTACATCCCCAGATCCCACGACATACTTCTTATTAGCCATATACTCAAAAAAGCTTTAAAGCCACCGGTCTATAGTTAAGTAAGCTATCAATTCCTTAAGCACTTTAATTTTTCAAATGGAAAGTTATACAGTAATGACATACACTTGCAAAAATAACAGATAAATGTGTTTCCCTTATTTTCCAAAAAGCCCATTTGACTGTGATCTTTTTATCTTCCTTAAATGTGTCAATTTTGAGAAGGCCCATTTCCCCATTCTAGTCAGTTCACGATTCCACCAAAATGATGTTAGTCAGGCCATTATTAGAGCTGAGAAAGCTGTCCAAACTCCAAACTCTCCATTCCTTAACATGTGCTTATCTAATAGCTATCAATCTTCTAAAACATTTAATTCTAATTTTTCAGACAATAAAAAGATGGCTATATGTAACAATACTAGTGAGTAGCCCCTCCACCCCCAGAAGGGGGTGCTGAACCCGGGATCTCTGCAATGAGCTACACCCTCCGCCCTTCAGGAAAAGAAAATTTAATTTTGAGACAGGCTCTCACCAAGCTGCAGAGACCACATTCTAATTCACAATCGTCCCGCCTCAGCCTCCCAGAGTGCTGGGATTGCAGGTGCACACCACTATGCCTGGTTTAATACATTTGACTAAATGATACAGAAGAATAAATGATAGGTAATATTCTATTCTCTCTTTTTTTCTGTCTTTCTCTTTGAGACAGTGTCTCACTTAACATTCAGGCTGGCCTTGAACTCACAGGGACTCACCTGCTTCAGTCTCCCAAATGCTAGGCTTACAGGTGTGTACCACCATGCACTGTAAGTCTTTTTGGAAGTGGCAGATGGCTATGATATGGAAAATCTGTGAGGGGAAAGATTAACTTGAAAGCTAGTTTTCTGAAATTTCTATTTGGGTAGGTATAGAGGACCTAAAAAGTGGCTTTTAGAATCTCCATTCTTGGCTGGCCAAATAGCTCAGCAGATTAAAGCATCTGCAAGCAGGAAACGGGCCTACAGTGCTAGCCCCACCCCAGGGGCATACTGAGACTAGGAGTAGTGGCATGCACCTGTAATCCCAGGTCTTGGAAGGCTGTAAACAGGTGGGTCAGTATGAATCCGATCTAGTAGTGAGACCCTGAACACCCTGCAGACCCTTCCCTAAAAATACACACACAAAAAAAAATTTAAAATAAATTGAATCTCCATTCTTGGGGCTGAGAGATAGCTCAGTGGTCTAAAGCGCCTGCTTAGGCAAGCTTAGGGAAGTGCAGGGACTGCAGTTCAATCCCTGGTACCACATACCATGCCAGCCTTGCCCCTAGGGCTGGTTGAACCAGTCATACACACACACACACACAAGACCAGCAGAAATAGAATCTCCATTCTCAAAATAGTTTCTCTCTCAGTAAATACAAGAGACTACCACAGGCTACAGGAAACCCACAGAGGAAAGTAACACTCAGTTTGGTTATAACCGCAAAGTTAAGCTTTCACAAGATGTGGATGCTAGGGTCAAAGCTGTATTCTCCAGCACAGCATGGGGAGGCTGAGACAGAAACTGTATAGTGAGACCCTATACCAAAGAAAGAAAGAGAGAGAAGGAGGGAAGGAGGGAGGGAGGGAGAGGAGAAAGTGTATCTCTCCAAAATTCTTAGCCTGAAATCCAAAGCCCCAAGGTGATGGTATTGGGGGTAAATATGTAATGAGGGTGTAGCCCTCAGGAATAAATTAGAGTCTATGAAAGAAGCCTGAAAGTGGGGTGTGGTGGTGCATGCCTATAAGTCCTAGTACTTAAGAGGCTGAGGCAAGAGGATCGATATGAGTTTGGGAACAGCCTAGACTACAAAGTGAGCTCAAGGCCAGCCTGAAGTGTATAGTGCAACCCTGTCTCAAAAAGACAAAAACAAAAACAAAAAAGGAAGCCTGAGAAACACCACTTGTCATTACACAAGTGAAGACAGCAAAAAAATGCTACCTTCAGCCAGACAGGCCTGCACACTGACATCACATCTGCTGGTCACTTACAGGGGACTTAGCAGCTTCCAAACCTGAGGAGGCATTGCCGCTGCTATAAGCCACCCAGTCTATGACATTTTGTCATAGTAGCATGAACAGACTGACAGTGAATTGATGCATATTATTAATGTATATCTATAGATACTCAAAAGCAATTAGGAAATTAGACATTTATCAGGGAAAAATTGTTCTAGACCATGGTTTTTTGTTTAAATTTTATTTATTTATTTGTGTGTGTGTGTGTGTGTGTGTGTGTGTGTGTGTGTGTGTGTGTCTGTGGCCAGCTCAGCCCACCAGGGGGCGGACTGGCTGGCATGTGGTGCTGGGGGATTGAACTGCGGTCCCTGTGCTTTGTTAAGCTTATTCTAAGTAGGTGCTTTAGACCACTGAGCCATCTCACCAGCCCCTAGACCATGGTTTTATCACACATTTTTATTTACCAGACTTTACCTCCACAACTAATGGGAAAAAGTCCATGTAACAAGTTAACTCACTCATTTATTCATTCAACAAATTTTTTTTTAAATTTATTTATCTATTTATTTATTTTGTTGTGTGTGGCCAGCTCAGCCCACCAGGGGGCGGGGCTGGCTGGCATGTGGTGCTGGGGATTGAACCGCGGTCCCTATGCTTTTGCTTAGCTTGTTCTAAGTGGGTGCTTTAGACCACTGAGCCATCTCACCAGCCCCATTCAACAAATTTTTATACACAACTTTCCTCAACCAAGTCTGTTCTATACACTGAAAACAGAGCAACAAACTACTCAATTTTCTCTTCTGAGATCACTTTCGAGTGCCAGTGTCATAACATAAATATATAAACAGGCAGGGATATGGCGCACATCTGTAATCTAAGCTACTCAGGAGGCTGAGGCAAAAAGATCACAAGTTGAAGGCCAGCCTGGGCAACTTAAGAAAAACCCTGTCTCAAAATAAAAATATTTTTTAAAAGTCTGGGATGTAGCTCAGTGGCAGAGTTCTTGCCCACATAAGGAGGCCCTAGTATACTGGTGACCCTGGGCTCAATACTCAGTACCAAAAAAAAAAAAAAAAAGAGAGAGAGAGAAAATGTAAGCTAATATTGTAAGTGGTGATCAGAGTGTAGATATAAAACATTTTGAAAATCTCCATTCTCAAATGTAGTTTTGGGGCCAGGGAGATGGCTCAGTAGAATAAGCACTTGCCTGGCAAGCGCATGGGCCTGAGTTCAATCCCTGGTTCTGCCAAAAAAAAAAAAAAAAAAAAAAAAAAAAAAAAAGTAGTTTCTCTCTCAGTAAATACAAGAGACAGGGGGCCTGCCCCTTAGCTCAGTTCTTATAGAGGGATTTGTTCTAATGGTGTTTGTAAACAAGATATCAAGTCCGCATCTTGTATAACAACCACTAGGAAGAAACCCATAGGGGAAAGTAACACTCAGTTTGGTTATAACTGCAAAGCTAAGCTTTCATGAGATATGGATGCTAGGGTCAAAGGTGTATCTCTCCAGCACAGCATGGGGAGGCTGAGACAGGAGGATTACTACGAGTGTGAACTGCATAGTGAGACCCTATACGAGAGAGAGAGAGAGAGAGAGAGAGAGAGAGAGAGAGAGAGAGAGCGCAAGAGCAAGAGCGAAAGGCAGGCAGGCAGCAAAATTGTTACGCTGAAATCCAAACCCCCAAGGTGTTGGATTTAGATAAGAAAAAAAGAAAATGAAGGAGAAGAAAGCATAACTAACAGAAGGGACACAGGAAGCTTTTCTCATGATGCTATACCTGAGCGAAAGCCACACAACGTAAGAGAAGTGAAGGCAATGACAGAGTCAGGACTGCCCTCTGGAAAGCAGTCCAATGGCAGGTGAGGAGGTAGGAGCTTGCTGGGCCTGGCAGACGGGCCAATGCGGGTGGCACCGAAAGACAAGGGGGAGGTCACAGCTGTGTCTACAGAGCAATAGGGGAAGAGACAGGAGCAGAGACATACAGAACAATGTAACCCACTTTAAGGACTTGGACTTTACTCTAAACCACATGAAAAGTCACCAAAGGCTTGTGATAGGACAGTGACTTGATCCAACTTCCAAAGAGGTTGATCTAGGCAGGGAATAGATGCTGTCCACAGTCATCCATGGACCAAGCCCTGGCCCAGACCAGTGCACAGCTGTGGCGTGACGAGGATCAGGACAGACTCAGTCGCCCACTCAGCTCTCACCTGAAGTGTCACCACTCTGGGTTGTCCTCTTCCTCATCCAGAGCTTTTCGTCACTCTCTAACTGAGGTAAAATATCCAGAGTGATGAACTGATGCTCTGTGAAAAGCCAAGGATATAGATTCAAGCTAAATACACTGGAAAACAAATTACGAAAGATTGTGTACATTCTCCCTGTATCACCTTCAGGATGTCAAAAACTAGTGTTTCCCAAACTTCTAATCATGACTGAATGGAGGAAATTATGTTTTATGCAAAAACCGCAGATATGTAAACGTTAGTATAAATCACTGGGAAAAGTATCTGTTTTCATCATACCTTTGCCACTATCCCTCACACTGTTGCTGACATCAGGACTAGAGTTTTCGCGGTTGTCCAAGGCTCTGATATTTTCTACCCCACTTCATTTCACTAAAAAAATTGCAAAATTCACTAAACAAGTACCATGTGTCCCTATTAAGAAATGAATACAATTTGAGCCCGGCGTGGAGACCTCCCATCCAAGTACTAACCAGGCCCGACCCTGCTTAGCTTCCGAGATCAGACGAGATTGGGCGCGTTCAGGGTGGTATGGCCGTAGACAATGAATACAATTTGAGAAAAGATAAAAATACATAGCAATCATGAGGTCCATTTATATGACAAACACATTAGCCAGGGGAGAAAGGCTAGAAAAATTCCATCTAGAAACCACTTCGAGGGTTCCTGTACATCTAGGGACAGGTAACCACAGGGAGTGGAGAGCAGCCAGGGCACTGGGCCTCACCCACGGAGAGCAGGTTCCTGAAGTTCTCCAGCATCACCTCTCGGTACAGCTTCCTCTGGGCCGAGTCCAGCAGCCCCAGCTCCTCCTCGCTGAAGACCACAGCCACGTCCCTGAAGGTCACTGCCTCCTACAACACAAAATACACTCCACTTAATCTTGGCAACAAAAGTCTACTAAAAGAAGAGCAGCACTAAGAAGAGTGGAAAAGATGTGCTGGGAGTAGGTCCAGATGCTGAGGCCAGAGTGAACTTTTCTATGATAGATGTTAAAGCTTTGTGCTCAGCTGGGCAGGATGATGCATGCCTGTAATCCCAGCGTTTTTTTGTTCTGTTTTGGTTTTTTTAGGGTGTTTTCTGTATGTGTGTGTGTGTGCAGGGTCTCACTATGCAGCCTGGACTTGTAGTGATCCTCCTGTTTTCTGCCTCCCTAGTGCTGGGATTGTAGGCGTGCACCACCATGGCTGGACTCCATTGCCGGCTCAGCGTGTCCGGGGGTGTCAGGGATTGACCGGCTTTTGTTTTCAGTATACAGGTAGCAAATACTTTCACTCACATTTTGCTCCTGTTTTTGTATAGCTTTGTGTACAACAATGTACCTCAACTTCAGCACTATGGACATTTCGGGCCAGAAACTTCTTGACTATGGAGGGCTGCCAAGTACACCACAGAATGGCTGGCAGAACCGTAAGTGCTGCCACTAGGTACCAGCGGCACCCCAGACTGTGGCAACAGAACTCTTAGCAGATGTTTCCTGGGAAACAAAATCACTCACAATTAAGGATCGCTATAATTGAGATTCCAGCATTGTTTTAACTTCCCACATGAAAACTGTTCACGCCCGGGAGCCCTGCACGCTCAGGCAGCCCACCCGAAGTGAGCTAAGGGGTCACGGAGAAGGAGCCACCTTGAGTGAGCAGGACCCATGGCCTCTTCCTCCCACCAGAACAAGCTTGGCACCCACACAGAAAAGCCAGCCCGACAGAACTCACTTCTTTTGCTCTTCTTTCTAGCCAAATAAAGATCCTAGGCATCTTTCCAAATTTGTTGGCTCTCTAGCCTTCTTTATGAACTTTGACACCTTTTTAATTCTATAACCCTTCTTCTCTAAGGTGTGAATGAAACCAAATATTGCCACATAAGGTTGACCTGAGGACTAAAAGCAGTAAAAAAAAAAAAGGACCTGACCTGTATGTTATTATATTATTATTTGATAAAATGAATTAATATAATGATGAAAAATATCAAACAGAAACTAAACACATCCAAAGTATAACTCAGCCACTGGGGAGAGAGTCTTAGCTTTTGACCAGGCATGGTGGTATGCACCTCTAATCCCAGCCACTCAGGAAGCTGAAGCAGAAGATACAAGTTCAAAGCCAGCCTGAAGAACTGAACAAACCCTTGGTTCAAAATAATAAAGTAAGAAGGGATGGGGTATAGCTCAGTGGCACAGCACCCACCTGGCCTGTACAAGGCCCTGGGTTCCATTCATGGCACTGAAAGTAAAAATCCAACTTTCTTATAGATAAATATCTGCAGACATATTCTCTGACCAAATCATGATCCTGCATGCTGTTTGTGTATTCCACACACAAACTATCCAAAGCACCACACATAGTATCAAAAACACAATTTAGTATTTCTAAAACATTAGGAACAAGTAACAGCAAAACTTTCTTTTGGGGGAAATCTTATATGCAGGAAAACTTTACCACAATGATACTCAACATAGTAAAGAAAATCTGAACTACTAAATGCCCATGGGCCGGCCAGACAGCTCAGTGGACTAAAGCGCCTGCTTAGACAGAGCGTGGTGGCAGGGATTCAATCCCCTGTGTGCCATGTCAGTCCCACCCCAGGGCACACTGCGATGGTGATTGAGACTGGGTGTGGTGGTGTGCGTGGGAGGCTGAAAATAGGAGAATCACTACGAGTCTGATCTACGTAGTGAGACCCTGTCCACCCTGTAGACCCTGTCCTAAAGTCATTAAAAAATATACAAATAATAAAATGCCCACAAACAAGGAGAAGTTATCCTTCACACACCCATATGCTACTCAAAGCACATCAATTTAAAGGAATGTGGTGTAGTCATCAAAGCTGCAGGGCATATAACATTTCTTAGAAGTAGTATAACTTAAAAATGTTATCTACACTTAAAAATATACTATTATGGGGGGCTGGGGAGATGGCGCAGTAGAATAAGCACTTCCCTAGCAAGCGCAAGGGCCTGAGTTCAATCCCGGGTTCTGGGAAAAAATTAAATAAATTTAAAAAAACAACACACATTGCTAATTTCCCATCATCTTTTTT